ACTTCCCAATCAGTCAAATGCCTCTTGAATGAGAGATTCCAGCCTTGAGGATACTAACACTCATTGATAGTAGCATCAGTCCTGTTGCATAGCACCAATAGATTAGGAAAAAGAGTCCTATAGTGGAGCTTGTCCATAGAGCTCTGATTGATCTCCAGACTCCCACTTCATATGTGGTCTTAACCTCGTTAGAGTACCAAGGACTGCTTCGGCCATATTTATGCTGGATAACCTCCCTCCATAAAGTTGATTCCTCTTCATGGAACCTCCATAGCCACTTCATCAAGAGACAATTGTTTTGTATCTTTGAGTTTCTGATGCCAAGCCCATCCTGACTTTTGTTTATTAATTTTTGATCTTTTATTTTTACATTATTTATCTTTTGGGGTGATCCTGAGATTTGATGCTCCACAAAAGATCTGCTTTTGAGATCTAGTTACTTTTGTCCATGGAAAATAACTTTTGATATCTCTATATGCTCTATTCCAAATAGAAAAACTTCCCAAGACCCCTAAATAGCTAGAGTAAAGGCCAATGAAAGCAGCCATACTATGGTTGTGTGGTGGGAGGAATTTGTTCTGAAAAATTAGTTCCATGGGACATGAATGTAGAATGGCCCTATGCATCAACAGCTGACTCTATGATGTCAGAATCGGATCTTCCTGGTGATGACGAATGGCTATTGAGCATTGATGAGTCGTCTACTTGCAAGAGACTTGTTGGAAGTCGTTTGAAATAGAGTTTCAACCTGAATTATTGTATAAACAGGTTCAGCATTAAATGTCACAGTACAGACTTTACCATAGATCAAGAGGTAATTTACATCCTTTCCTGTGTCTTACATAAGAAATATCAATTAAAATGAATCATTTCCATGTCCTAAATGTTCTAAAACCAAACAGCTCTGCTGGTTAGACAAAAAAGGAAAGAAGTTCACTCTCTTGGGTGTTTTAATTGGCCATACATTAAAGCTTGAAAGTCCCTGTCCTCTCCTTTCAATGGCTGTTATAGATGATTTAATAGAGACCCGTCAGCAGGGGTGGTCTCCCCTATTGATGAGTCCCCACCAGTTCCATGTAGGAGTCCTATGGCTCGTCTCTTTCCTCCCGTACTATGCCTGTTGAAAGTTCTTTCCAGCAAGATCATCAACTCCTCCAGCTCTTCCCTCTTCTAAACTTGCAAGTGTTGGACATTGTCGTTCCATTTTGCTACATCCCGCACTGTTGTGTCCTTGACTGTAGAGATGGAAAACGGCAGTTGTAATGAAACCTTTAAAGTGTTTTTAGCTCTCCATCCTCCCCTTTCCATTCACTCAAACAGTTCAACTTGCCTCTTTCTAAATATGGTATGTTATGTTTATCTGAAGTAGCAATATGTCGCGCCTCCTACAGCTTAAGCCATGTATTTTTTTTAAAAAATTAATGGAAAAAAAGTGAGATGTAGGCCTCAAGGCTTGAAGTGAATGCCTTCTAGGACTTTTTTTTCTCTTAATATACTTAAAAAAATCAATACGATCAATGATACAAAAAAAATAGGAAAAAGAAAATAGAAGCAATAGAACCTACACTGATGAAGATTTTGTGGTCAAAAGGGAGAGAGAAGCTGGCATGAGGGAGGAGAGGAGGCTGTTGGTGTTCATAGATTAAGACTTTTTTCGTGCTTATTGCTATTCTTTAAATACATAATATGGAGATAATCTGAATGGTCCTAGACCAAAACATCTTTGCAATTGTCTTAGGACAAAAATAAGTAAAATTTGAAGGCCTCACTCAAATTCGGGTACTCCTTTGTTGAAGAACTTTTTTTATGAATTCCTTGAAGTAAGGGTGTAAAAGCATCAGACTAAAACTTTACAGGTGAAGACCTCACTCAAGAAAGCAAACTACTCAGCATAATTTCACTGCTGCCACACATAAAGTATTTTAGCAATGCCTTTTGCATTGTGCACCTATGCGGCTATGCCTTTCATAACACTTCTCATGGCCTAATTGAGTTGAAGGATATTATTATATTTCCAGTGCAAAAAAGTGTGAATTTTGTTTTCCTTTGGCAATTCAGAGATGTTTAGAATCGAGCACAGAAGAAGTATGAGAAATGTTTCAGCATTATCGTGGTTTAAGCTTACATTGTTTTTGTTTGACCATATTCATTGGGAATCCTTCTCAAAATAGTGTTGTGCTCAGTGTTACCAAAAACAATAGAGGAAAAAAAACTCTATGGTTTGTTGGGGCTTAAAGCGCAAATAAAGTGTGGGCTTTAATGAAAAAAGGTGCAATGGAAAAAAAATACAGATATATATTTAGTCCAAAACTAAAAATATAAGCATGAATGACAAATATATGAACAAAAAAATTGATTTTTTTTCTGATAAGTGACATATCAACTGTTTAATGTTGCCTCTTCAGAAGTGGTTACTTGACAAGGAAAAGTATGGCTTAGTACCTTGATGACGACATTGAAGTGCACAATAAGCGAGACGTAGGGTTCAACATGTTTTGTGCTGAGCCTCAGGGCTTAAGCGAGCCTTTGATAACACTGGTTGTGCTTTAGTTATAATATAGCAACTGAATCATCTGACATCACAGAAATGATACAATTTGTTGAAAATAATGAAACTGTAATCATTCAACATAATTAGCAGCTGACTAGAGTGTCCAATAAGGTGACTTGGCTTCTTGTATGATCTGCATTCTTTTGTATTGATATATAATTTAGCTTATATGGCCAGAAGTTTTACATAAACGCTACTGTGAAAAAGGGAAAGAAAAAAACAGATTAGAATGTATTTCCTTGTAAGTTCCTTATAAAGAAAAATATATTTCTTTGTAACTATATGCATGAGTTGTCTACTTATCTGTGTTCTTCTTACTGTAAGATGTTAGTGTAGAGTTGTTATAAAAAAAAGATGTTAGTGTAGAGTTCTGAAGCTTGGTTCTGTAAGTGCTTGTTTCAATTACAGTAGACTTCCTCTACATAGGACATTAGCTAAACACCATAATCCTAGCAAGGGAGGAAATTAAGTAGGGATTATGTGTACTTTTCTGTTTGAAAATGCAGGATCTCAAGGAAAAGCTATTGAGGTCATAAGCAGAATTTAATCTTTAAAGATGTAGAAAGAAGGGGCATCATACTCATCGAGGAAAAAAAAAAAGGGGGGGGGGGGATCATGTAGGTCATTGTAATGGAGTCGGGACTATTTAGTTTCTACTTTGTGGTATTAACTTCATTCAACTGATTATACTTCTCCATTTAGTTTCACTATCTTTAAATACATTTAGTCTCGTCTTCCAGGGAATGAAATGAAAAATGGAATGCTGATAAAAAACTGAATGAAGAGGTTTTTGATGGATAGTACTTTTCAAAGATCGATGCTCCTTCACATTTTTCTCTCTTTTCCCTTCTTTTACCGAATCTCTAATTATGCATCGTTTTTATGGACAATGTGACTCTATTACCAGTGCTCTGATTGATTTTCCATGAGCCCTTTCCTTGCATTATGAATTTACTGACTCTAGAAATAATGCTTAATTGACTTATTATAACATGGTTGTTAGAAATGTGGCCTTTCCTGGGTGCTTTATCTATTCAATTCTGCACAAGTCACACAGAATCTGGAGATGATGCTTTTATAATCAACTTCTTAAGCATGATTCTTGTTTAGGACGGTGTTATCCTTGGAGCAGACACGCGGGCAACTGAAGGACCAATTGTCGCGGATAAAAACTGTGAGAAAATTCATTACATGGCTCCTAATATATATTGCTGTGGAGCTGGGACAGCTGCTGATACAGAGGCTGTGACTGGTAATGAGTTTTTTATCCATATTCTAGCAATTTTTGCCTTTTTTGGAAATTATTTGCAATATAACTTCTCCCTTTTAAGTTTTAAATCGCGCGTGTGTGTGTACATATATATATTTATATATATAATTATCTATCTATCTATGTCATCTCTTAATTAGCAACTATTATTCTTTAGACATGGTCAGTTCCCAGTTGAAGCTTCACAGGTATCACACTGGTCGTGAATCCAGGGTTGTGACATCTCTTACTCTTTTGAAGTCCCACCTTTTCAGGTAAGTTTCTGTTTGTTAATATTATTTAGAGGCATAGTAGTATTTTCAAGTTCATTAAATGACAATCCGACAAGCCTAACTATGTTCTCTCAACCAGCTACCAAGGCCATGTCTCTGCTGCTTTGGTCCTTGGTGGTGTTGATGTCACAGGGCCACATCTGCATACTGTAAGTAGTTCACATTTGTATTTGAGTATGTGTATGTGTATGTTTTTACAATGTCATCAAAGTTCTGACTATTTGGTCAATGGATTGTCTCTCAGATTTATCCACATGGATCAACTGATACTCTACCATATGCTACAATGGGCTCTGGTTCCCTCGCAGCAATGGCTATGTTTGAGTCGAAATACCGTGAGGGGATGAACGTAAGTTTGTTACTTTTGACTATAGTAGTTTGCTGTATTTGGTTGGTAAATGTTTTGTGAATCCTGAATGTTGATGGGAACTCTGTTGCAGAAGGATGAAGGTATAAAGCTAGTAGCAGAGGCCATATTGTCTGGAGTGTTTAATGACCTTGGTAGTGGCAGCAATGTCGATATCTGTGTGATAACTAAGGTCAGCTCTCCTTTAAGTGAACCTAATTGAAAAAATAATGTTCTCGATAATGACAGAATTTTCAGCATGTAATGCACTACACCATTTTTCTGTTTATGATTGCATGTGGCGTCTAAACTCTTATCTTTATCATTAGGGAAACACGGAGTATTTACGAAACCATTTATCGCCTAATCCCCGCACCTATCCACAAAAGGGTTACTCATTCTCGAAAAAGACTGGTTAGTGTTCTCAGACTTGTCAACCTTCAATGGTTTCTTTTTTAGGATTCTGAATGGAATTTTGCTAATACCGTCTGCTGGAACTGTTTGTGCTTGCAGAGGTTCTCCTTACAAAGATTACACCACTGAGAGAAATTGTGCAAGTGATTGAAGGTGGAGAGGCCATGGAAGAATGACTTGTACTGCAATGATAAAATCCGTGTGGATTTCCTTTAAACATTATATTGTCAAACAATTTCAAGAGTATTTTAGTGTTGGAGAAGTTTCAATTGCAAGTCTAAATGAACTATTCTATGTTATCAGATGTAGCTTCCAAAAAAATTCCTTGCTAGAAAATGGATGATTGGTTTGATTTGAAGAAAGGATTTTGTAGTTTTTGTCGCCCTTGTGCTATCAATAATTTTGAACCACTGGCTTCCAGGATCACATGTAGTATCATTTGTGCTCAGACACTTGCATGTTTGTGTGACAATGACATTGTTGGGATCAACATCCAAGCAAACACTAGTAGCATCTTGTAGCTTAGAAGACAGGTGCATCTTAGAGTCTGAGATGATATCCCATTTTGAGCTATCATCACTGCATATCATACTAAGTTTTGCTGGCTGTCCGAGCTTATTATCTGCTTGCAGGCAAAAGTAAGTTCCTAATACAATCAGTGCTTTTGCTGGAGCATAGCTCCATGCTTCAGCCTCGGAGCATGGACCTAGCTCCAATGGCTGCAGCAATGAAGTTCTTTGCACACAAAGCCCTGTCATAGGATGGAATATTACTTTATGTGAACGAGTCTCGGCATATCCTGGTCCTGCATTTGTACCAAGGTAAACACTAAGTTCTTTTTCTCACAAAAATTCTGATAATTATGTTATCAGTTCAGTGTATACCTTGGAATGGCGTGCGGATGACTGAGATCCTTTGCAGAAAGCTTGAATTCCTGATATCGAACCAGTTCCAATCTAAAATACCATAGTACTCATTGAGTCCCACAATACCATCTCTCAAATAATAGCTCCCAACGAGTGTCCACAATGCCCAATCGAAGTCAAGTTCAGCTGCCAGTCCAAGAAAGCAATTGAAATACCTGTTGTCATTCACATTGGTGCCTCTCTGATCCACTCCAAACTCACTCACGAACAATGGGTAGCCTTGTTCTAAAACAAAAGCTCCTCTGCTCACCATGTCATTCAACACTTCTCCGCACGCTTGGTTTGCGTTGTCTGCTGACCAAGTGTCTCCATCTGTGAAACTATATCGATGAATCTCGAAAACTAGCTTGCCACTGAATGTCAAGTTCACCGGTCTTTGCTGCAAGAAAGAAAGATCCTTGTCGAAACTTAGTCCAGATAGAATGATGAGAACATCAGAGTTAGCTGCATGCACTGCTTCAGCTCCTTTCTGCATGTACCTAATCTCAACAGTAACCACCTTTTAGTTAGTACCATGCAAAAAACCACGAGCACTGGGTTTCTAATCAGGGTGGGGTCGAGGTCAGGTCTTGGGTCTCAGGTTGGGGTTGTGAGTTGGACTCGAAGGCTCAAGTCTCGATGGATGATAGGGGAAGGGTGGATCTGATGGGTGGGGTAGGGTAGGGGAAGTTGGACCATTTTTAAAAATTTGGGTCAAATTGGGTGTGTCAATGACCCAACCCACTTATTAACACAGCCTGTTTTAATTTGTTCAATTTCAGTCTAACCTGCTCATTTGACACCCAATGCTATGTATCACTACATTCATTATTTCTTTGTGACAATGCATTGGAACTTAGTGAGTATCACTACATTCACACACACAACCCTCATGCTGGAGGAGCTATCAATGACTCAAAAGACTTTTTGACATAGTTATGTAAAATGTGTATTACAGGCTAGAATCACAACTTGTGTTAGAAATCATGGAAGATCAGAATTCAAATCGTAGAAGAAATTTTTTATTTAAAAAACAAACGATCGAGTACTAAGTCAGTGGGAGGTGGTAGCATGTAGCTGATCAAATATGCATATAAACAGATCTAAATTTCAAGAATGAGCATTTGTGAGGATATGAGTAGTACCTATACCAATCATCAACATTTTGTAAAGGTCCACGAAGTTCATTTCTTAAGCTCATGCCTACAACATTGGTAGTGGCCTTGAAAGTGGTGGCTACTTTTGTAAGGCCTTGGATCCAAAGGTGAGGGTCAAAGTACTCATCTCCAAAGAAGCCATTGCCATCAAATCTGCTACAGCACCACCCAGGCTTGCTTATGTGATTGTCTAATATGATCATCACATTGTTCATTGCAAGGCTAGCCACCACTGCCTGTCATACAAGTATTACACATACAAAAGAAATCAATTATAGACACTAATACAATAAGATTCACTCTTCATTGACAAATTTAGAGCTTGCGCTCCCAAGTAAAGATCAGTACAACCCGGATTCCTAGTTAGATGAACAATGCAATATTACTGGAATAGATTTTCAGGGTATTTTATTTTTTATTAAGAGAGGAAACAAAAATTATTTCAACAAGAATGTTACAGCTACTACTTGATAATAAACAATTTTCTTTTTTAAGCTATGAAAAGTTGTTATTTTGTAGTACATGGTATAGAATTTCTAAATATGTAGTAAATATTTTTTTTTATTCAATTAGAGAAAAATATCAAATGAATAGATCAATATTGAACTTAAATGCGTAAATATCCTATCTAATATTTTTTGGTTTTTTCATCCATATTCGGAGTCCATTGGAGCTCAATTTCATCCAGATCATACACTGCAAGGCTCATTCAAAGATGACGCTCCCAAAATAATTTTTTGCCCAAGACTCAAATTCAAGAGAGAACGAAACAGTCTCAGTACCACAACCCATGTTAATCCTATGTCTAATTACTTTTTGAGAATAGATGAGATGAACCTTTTTTTCTTCTTTTTTTTTAAAGAAACCAAAACAGGATAAGTGCCAGTGGCGTACATGAAAAGTTGACATATTTGTTGGAGTGTGTGTGTGTGGGGGGGGGGGGGGGGGGAGTGTGCCCCCCGCCT